TTTGGGAAAAACATAAGTATATAGGTATATACGGAAAACCAAAAGTCCACTCACTGGTATGTAAAAAGGTCGTAACCCCTTTGCCTCGAGTGACCGCGCTCGTCCTCGGGATAAGTCTCACCTATATGCGAAACAACTATAAAAACGTTAATTTTAAAGCACATAACCAACATTACGAAATAACTTCTCATACAATGCTCAAATGGGGTGTATGAATACACCAACGTGATCTACTCAACCTCACGAACATCCCCATATTTTTAAAATAATTTTCTGACGCCGCACGCGCCCCCACGCGCCGGCCAAGGCACAGCCACACGTGCCACCCATGTGCAGGCACGTGCCTGGTACACTGACAGCGTCAGTTAACGCCGTCAGGAATATTCCGTTAAGTCTAACAGATTCCGTTAACACCGTTAGGAATATTCCGTCCAAACTGACGGAATATTCCGTCATCTTCTCCGGCCAACCTCCAGCACCGTCGCCAGCGCCGGAAAACCGGGAAATTTTCTAAACTTGATTCTTCTTCATTTTTCATCCAAATTTCACAAAATTGGTACCAAAATGAAGCTTACAACAAGAGGAACAAATCCATACCACTTTCAAGCACCAAAACCAACAGAATCTCGTCGGGAAAACACCACCAACTCCGGCCAAACCTACAACTCACGATCCTGAAGTCCAAAACCTTCAAACGAACCACCCCGAGCCTCCTAAGAACCTCACCAAGCTTCCTACAAGCTTGAAATTCCCAAAAACACAAGAATTAACGTGTGCATGAACAGTGACCAAAATCAGGGATCTCGAGTTCAACGTGAAAATGAAGGTATCCTTACCTGAAATGAGTATGGTTGAACTCCTAAGGACCTCACGCGCACAAATATGTAGTTTGTTTCCTCGATCCGTGGCGATTTCAAGGGTTTGTGGTGTTGTCCATACGAAAAGGATAGGAAAATGAGAGAGAGAGAGTCTCGAGACAAGGCAGAGAGAGAGAAATGAGGGTGAGTGTGTGTGTGGTCCAAAATCAACCAATCAAAACCCAAAAACGACTACACAACGAAACAACCATACTAGGGGCAAAACCGTCATTTCACCCCGACGGTACGAAAAGTCCGGGACGGGCTGTCACACTCTTCCTTTCTTTATTCTTCAATCTTTTATAGGCAATGTCAAGACCTAACAAACCCATTATGGGTTATTTTATTTTAATACATTAACGGAAACCAAAGTTATCAAGTGAAATATAACCTTTAATCATATTTCAAAGTCTTCATTCATACTGCTTTTTCAGACTTCACACTGCTTTTATAACACACCACAAATTAAAAAAGAAAGTATCCTGAAAATTTAAAGAGTGTTGCAACACCAAACTCAATCTAATTCTTATTTACTAGCCTTTTGCCATATGCGTACACGTGTGATAATTGACTTTTTTTTAATTTAAAATTAAGTTAGATTTTTGTTTTAGATTTATTTTTGAATTTTTTAATAAAAAGAGTTCAAAAATAAAAGAAGAATAATTAACCACCCACATTCATTGAAAATTACCATTTTGTCCATATTTTGTTTCGGTAGTTGTTCATCGTTTTCCTGCATCAAAATGAGGCCATTATGAAGACATTGAAAGCCTCACCTATGTAGTATGTGAATTTAAGTCTATAATAAGAAGTTGTTTGGACCCAAAATTACACCATCGGCCTGTGCAATCGAGGCCGTTGAGTAAGCATGATTCTAGACCGTCGGATAAGAAAGTTAAGATAATTTTGTTTTGAGATAATGTTATGGTTTTTAATCATAATAATTATCTTTTAAAGTTATCTCAAATTTTCTTATACAAAATAAATGGGATAAAAATCATAGTCCTAATGTAGAAGCAAGTAGAACAGTCCGATTTAATTTGGATTTGTTAGCAGTGTACCATGTGGATTAGAGCAACTCGGCTTGGGATCTTATCACATGGCATAGCATGGATCTGCAAATTTTGGATAATGGTGAATAGAAAGCCTAAGTAGGTTAGGTTGATTGACAAGTAGTCAGAAATGAATTTTAAATGGTTTGAAATTCATTAAATGGGATCAGGATGTATGGATGAGTGATAGAATTATGACAAGAAAAGAAAGCCTAGCTAGGCTAGGTTTTTAATTACGATGGGATAAGTCAAGATGGGCTTTTATCTTGTTTGGAAAGCCAACCATTTGGATGAAAGGTTTTAGACTTTAGAGGAACATGGAAATAGTGACGTGATGCAGCAGGAGGTTTACCATGCATGAAGAGATAAAAGATTATGATGGTGGGACCGAATATCCTTGGCAGGATGCTAAGAGTTTTAGTCATATGACAACACTTGCAAGACTTGGAGATAAAATCACAGTATATCAGGTTGCTGCAAATGAACACGTGGCTTCAGTTTGCGTGAGATGGTATGACTAAAGCATGGGCTTTGGCCTGCGTAACGTAAATTTCTTTATGAGTTTAAAAAAACGATTGGATTCTGTAACAGATATCCAACAAGTGTCAGCCGCCAAAGCCAGTATATCAGTACTATAAATAAAAGGCAACGTGCATCATCCGAGGGACCTCCAATTTAACACACAATTGCCCTGCGCAAAACCTCTCAAACAGCTTGAGATTTTATTTTCTTTTTCTCGCCAACACACCTTCAGTTTGGATACACAACACTGTTGCCGTAGAATCAGCCGACCGCGAAGCACCTTCAGTTTGGATAAACAACACTGTGTCGAGGCCGACTGGTTATCTATCTAAGTCTCGGTCGAGAAGAATTTTCAAATCCTTATTGGCAGAGGTCATCTCATTAGCCTTCTCAGCGAAGTGAGGTGTTACCAGGTTACTACATTCGGCACCCTGAGAGCCGAATTTGATATTAAACTTCGCAGAACTAGCAGCCTTGTCTTCAGGCTCGAGAATCCAAAGACCGAGATTTGTTCCTTGCTCGGCCGCAGTCGCAAGATAAAGAAGTCAGCAACGCGCTCAACGCAACATCAACAAATTTTACTCCTCGGCCGAGCTCGACCGATGAGTTGACACGCCCCGCATTCAACCGAAGAACATAGTTAGCTTATTAGTTACTCGGTCTGCGCGCTACGTAGGCTTTGTAATTTTTAGGATCAACAGAAGTCTATAATAAGAATTCGAGCAGGATTTATAATTTCACAACGAAACGCATGCCAATCAATCTGAGTAATTAAACCGACCCGTCACCGAAACTCGTGCGTGAAGACCTGTAACCTTCGTGCTATTCGATCGGTCTGTGGCACCGGTCAACCAGTTTTCATTGGATGACCTCTCCGTTGTTGCTTTTCTGCTTCTCTTGCTGGGTCATTCGATCGATCGGCGCTTTCAAATTCCTATCCCAACAATTTAAAACAACATATCTACTCTTTTGACCAATACTTAAAATAAAATAATTACATGAAACCTCCATGAAGATCATCAAATGATCAACTCTTAAGCATAGTTCCTACCCGAATTGCCTCGGACTAACAACCTTGCCTTGTGCCTTGTGTGCGACGCCCTAATTCGTTCACATCCATGCCCTCTTAGAGCTTCCTGGAAGGGTAAACATTGTCCAGCCCAAGCGCGAAATTGACTCTCACGGTCCTACACTTGACTTTGCTACAGCTAGCACATGCCAGGGCAATTTCGTCGGCCGCCTATTGTTGTGAGCCCGCGCCAACCTCTTACACACGTTAGTTCAGTACCGTTCTAGTGGACCTTATAGTCTTAAAAATCTATACCGTTTGATTTTAACGCAACAGTAGAGAATTATTTAAATTTTATTGTTATACTTTCTATTATACTGTTGGGCTAAGATTGAACGGTGAATAACTACAATTATCTCGAACCAAGGGGTCTAGGAAAAAGGGACTCGTAAGTTAGCCATCCATGCACATTCATTGCATTAGATTTGATTGTTGTAGTGATCTTTAAGAGCTGGTTTAGGATTGTAGTGCTTCTTAAAAAATAAAAAAATAATTAAAAAAAAACATTTTATACAAAAATTTTGAAGGCCAAATGAGTTTGGTAAAACAAAACAATGTTTTTTTTTTTAAATTGCTATCAATGACAATAGAAAAGCAGAAGCTACATCTACCATGCTTCTAAAAAAAAAAAAAAAATTTCTCAAAGCATAGTGAACAACGCCCTTTTAATGAAATTTTTAAATGATAAGTATATCACGTATATTTTACAAAATTACAATTTTTGCCCCTGCATTATTCTCTCTGGCAATTATTATATCACATTCAATACCATCATTTTTAATCAATTAATATATTCATATAAAAGTTTACCAAATACTCCAAGCACTTTTTCTTTTTTTTTGTTAAAAGCATTTTTACAAAAAAAATGTTTACCAAACACTCAACAAATTTATTTTATAGCTGTTTGTTCTCACAACATAACGTAAGGAATTTTTTTTTTTAAAACACGTACAGCAATACCAAACTAACCTTAACTCAAATCTATACAAGTACTTATGTCAGAAGAATTATTATTGAAACTATCATGAGATCATTTCTTTCTTTCCAATAAACGCCATAAATAAAATAAATTTAATTGACGTGCATGGCTAACAACAGAACAAGCTTTTGTGATTTTTGTTGAAAATATGAATCCCACATTGAAGAAAAGAGACCTTGCATGTATTTGAGTTCTTACTTTTATAGCCAATTAGTTTTATGATGGAACCTCAATTTTTTACAATTTCACAATTGCTCTTAAAAATAAATCTTAACCCCAAATGAATGGCGAACAGATCAGTAAAATTCATGACTGATAATTCAGAACTATATTAGATGGTGAAGGCTCTACAAAATTTGGGAGTAAAAGAAACAATAGTATTATTTTCATTACCTTATTAGAATAGGAGGCCTAGCAAAACCAGGTATCCAAGCCCATGCATGTTTATTATTAATCTCCAATGCATTGAGAAATTTTTATGTGTGATTAGAACACAAGCTAGTATAACACGTGCTATAATATAAGTGAACAATATATCGCATTCTAAAGTATATTTTCTGTTGTCCCTCTATTTAATATACCGCTTTGTGTTCTAGATACACATAAAATTTTATCCAATGCATGCAGTTAAAGACACAGCAACATCTAAGTACACTTGCATACACAACCAGAGTGCAGCAAGTTAGGGATAACACAAGGGCGATCGTTTGGAATCCATAACCCCAACACAATATAAAAATACCAAAACAAAACAAAAACCAGAACTGAAAACAAAAGCAAAAACGAGAGCTCATGAGCCTATTACGAGTTAATATACTACCAGAAGAAGTTGTTTAGGTGAGACGGAGATCGTGAATCTTGATCCTCAAGATCATGAGATGGAGAATGCACGTGTCTCCCTTCATATGTTGTGATCACCATCCTCGGGTCCTCGGCTAAGCGCTCTACTCGTTTCTTTACGCGGCAGTTATCCATCGTACAACGATAGTAACTCCTGCAATTTGATTAAACAGAAACGTACATTAGTTCAGTAACAAGAAACAGTCAAGGCTGTATATTTTTTGTTTTTCTGGAATTCAAAAAAGATGAGGATTCATCATGCTTGTGAAAATATAAAAAGAGAATTGTAAGCTTATACGAAGTGAAATGCAATTACGAAACCAAGTGAAATTCTCATAATAATTAGTGCTAAAGACTAATTGCACTTCAGGCCTGGGAAATGTCAAAAGCTCTTCAACTGACCTGGCTAGCATGTTCGGTTTAAAATTTGAGAAATGCTAAGGATGGTTTTTTGAAAGTGGGACTTTCCATTCACTCTATGCCATCTCCCAGTTTAGTTATTTTCCATATCAACATTATAAAACATTATGTCAAAACATAAACCTACAAAGAATTCATAAGAATCCTACTTTTGAGACAATCTCTTAGAATTTTTGAGAGAGTCTCTTAGAATTTCTTTTAAAATTTTCAGAGCTTATAACAAACAATTTAGGGAATGAAATCAAAAGAGGACCCACTTGTGGGACCTATTCAACCTCGAAATTCCAAGTCAAAATATGATTCCTGGATACTTTAGCAAAATAAAAACGAGTTCCCTTTAATTAAATAGATGAAACACACTCACATGTTTGCTTATAATTCAATTTGTTGACTACAGGATTCTACAAACTCTTAATTTTTCTTCCCTACAAACTCCTCCACACAAAATTTTGATCTACTCTGAGATTGATCTCCTACGGAAAGTCAAATCTAATCAATGGTACATGGGTAATAACTAGTAACCACACCTTTGCAAGGCCAACTTCACATTGTATATAAAAAAGATAGTACTTGAGTACTGACTAATAATCAATACTCAAATTATTGACTTTTTATATAGTCCAATGATACACGTAGTACAAAACTCTCTTCCTACGCTCTCCCAACTCTTACTATTCGTGAAAAATTGGACGGCTTAAGTTACTAAGCTAATGGTTTGACTCCGATCCCGTCATCGAGTTCGCTACCAAATTTTCTTTTATTCTTTTTTTTTTCCCAAACTGCTCCATCTAACTTAACACACCCAAACTCTTATGGAACAGTTTAAATGCTTATGACAGACCATTTCAGAGGTGGATTTACTGACTCAATTATTCATCAACAGTAAAAAGTCCTAGTTAAGTTCAGCTTGGGGTAGGTGTTTTTGACATTTTGCAAGATATTATAAATATATGTCAATCATAATTCCTACTTTTGACATTGTATACATTTCTTTTCCAAAAAATGACATTGTATACAATATAATTGAACACCCCGATTAATCATTTCTGAAGAAAACAGGAGACCATACAATTCAACAAATGAGGCCTATCACATATGATTGTGCATGCTATATATACAGACACATTCAAGGTTCAAATCATTTCTGTAGAATTTTGCTGCGCTTAATTTCAACTCCTATGGTGACAAAAGTGGAGGAAGAATGTCAATGCAAATATAAAAAGAATAAAAAAAACTGGTTCAGACATGTCATATATTATATGTAATTAAGGTAATATTCTCTTGTCTAATAATTAAACAAGTTATATAAGTTTGACAGACTGAATTGTGCAATGCACAGATTTAAACAAGATTATACCTAACCAAGATCAACAGTCTCGACTGACATTGGCAGGCGAAATTTATAAATATACATATATATATTTTGACATCTGAATCTGCAGAGAATTAGTACAATGTGTGTACCCAGGCATGCCCTAGAGGCATGCAAAGTTTCCTAAATTCCGGTATAACTTAAGCCCATTCGGTAATATATATATATTTTTTTTTTAAAGAAAGTTGAGGTTTCGTTATAAAACCATTAACAATACAGAAAATAGCTTAAGTTTATGCAAGGTTTCTTCCTTTATCAAGTGGGATTCATTTTCAATACGCCCTTTTACGTGTGGCTAATTTTCAAGTCAAACGCGTAGACAACACAAAAACAGGGTGACGTGGAGTGCGTGTGGCCATTGGCTTCACACGTGGAACAACCTGCTCTGATATCATGAGAAAGTTATGGTTCTACCATAAAACCAATTTGAGAATATGAATTAATTTCATCATTATTAAACATGGTCACTAAAGTGGTGAAGCTCCTCCACTTATGCAGTATATATACTAGCTAGTACTTCTCCTAAGGTACTGACGATGATTCGTAATCTTGTTCTTACTAACAGCTTTCTTCAATGGAATCTAATTTTTGGAAGGTACATTAATTCAATATGTGATGAAAAAGTGATTAAGAAATATTATCCAACCCCTTAATTATTCTGCTTTGGCATGTATATGATGATTAACTGGCAACCTTTGTATAATTGATCAATCTTTGCAAACTAAATGAATTTTATAACATATGAATTTCATCTTTGAAGAGTAGTAATAATTATAGTTCTCTTTTAGAAATTGCTTTTGCTCTTGCTACAATAACCATCAAATCTGCAGCGCCAAGCCTAGCCTGCAAAAGCCTAATGATGACAGACAATGATACCAATGACAATAATAAAAGAGAAAAAGAAGGAAAGAGAGAAAAAAGAGAAAAACGAGAAAAAAGGAACACATTATTTCTAATGGGTACAAGTAGTAGAGAGCTAATATATCCAATAAGACGTGAAAATAAATAAAAAAATTGGAGTGATTAAAGCAAAAAAAAAATGGAAGGAAAGGAGAGAGGAAAATGATCAGTACAATCTGAATTTGATGCAATATACCTTGGATGCTGTGTGTTCTTTACCACTTTCTGTCCGTACTTTCTCCACTTGTAACCATCATCAAGCACATCCACATCGCTCAGGGTTTTGAAGCAAAACCTAGGCTCCCTCACCTTCCTCCTAATTGCCTTCATCTTCTTCATCTTCATTGCTGAAACCCCTCCTAAATAAGGATGATGGTGGTCATCTCCGCCGCTTGATCTCTTGCTGTTCAAGCAGTACTCATCACGATCATCATTCACGTCTCCCCATGCCCTAGAATATATATAAACACGCAGATAAATGATTTCGGTATATATTTACATGATTAATAGTATTGATGTTATGTAAGAGTATAATTAAAGGGAGACATTCGAGAAGACTGCATGGTGATTAAGTAGCTGGGGAAATAGCTGCTTAATATATATAATTGATATTATTTTACCAGAGATTTGCGGTGGATCTTTGCAAAGAAAGGAGATGGTCATGGGCTCCTCCTCCTCCTCCACCGCCAAATTCAGAACTAGTAGTAGTGATGTTATGATCTTGTTTATGCCTTAGAGGAGGAGGAGGAGTAAGTGATGGCCGGGGGACTAGGGTTTCAGAGAGAGTGGTAGTTGAAGGTGCATCATCAGAAGCTATGCTAGCCGTACTGAAGCCGCCTTTGAGAGATTGGTGACCTAAAAACGGCAACGACGAAAAGATTAAATTTGGTGGGAAAGGAAAGAAACCCATCTGTGTATTACAACCCTCTCCCTCTTGATTCTCAAACAAACCCAGCTGCTGCTGCTGGTTGAGAACGGCTGCCTGGGACGTTCTAGATGCCATCTATCTCTCACTTGTACGGTGTAGACAATCGAAGAGAAGGATTAAGGAAATCTATCTAGGAACAAACATACGCAGTGTAGATTAAAAGCATCAGGGTCTCTCTCCAACTTCAAGGATATATAGATTGAAAAACAAAGGGAATACCATGATTGGAAGGAAATAACGAAATATCTATAAATAACACATGACTACCACTTTCCCTTGTTACTTGTCTTTTTTCTTTTTTCATTTTTCTTTTTCTTTTTTTTTTAAACGTGTCCCCTTTTTATAAAAAATGACTAGAAGATGAGCACACATTTTGTGTGTGAATAATTTCATTTTCTTTTTTGTTTTTGATTAAGGAGTGTGAGACAAGAATGATGAGATCTTTTAATAAGGGCATATTTTTCTTAATATTACATAATTATCATTTTGCCCTCTTTATATAAATATTGTATATCAAAAGTGAGGGTAAAATAAGAAAAATAGGAATATGATTGTCATTTTCTCAAAAGATACAAAATTACTATTTTGCCCTCTTATGTAAGTATTGTGTATCAAAAGTGAGGGCAAAATTGAAAAAAAAATGGTAAAAAGTTGACAATGAGGGTTCTCTTAACATAATAGAATAAGTACTCTCTTTTTAGTTGTTCACACAGTCTTGTTTAATTATGATTGTTGTTTTTGTTTGTTTTGATTAATTCGATTACCAAAATAAAAAATGAGTGAAAATATTCTCTCCTTTTTTTTACCATGAAGGTTTATTGGCACACCCACATTTTGATGAATACACCAAATATTACAATTTATAATTATCTTAATACTCTCACTTACTTGTACAAATTAGCTAGAATGAGGATTCTCTTCGGATTCTCTTTGGGAGGATCTCGGGAATCTTCCAATCACATTCATTCATTATAAATCATGTGATCAATTTTCATCATGTATTGTTTATATTTAATTTTAAATAAAAAAATTTACAATGATTTCTGATCGCATGATATACGATGAACGGATGTGATTAAAGAATTCTCAGAATCCTTACAAAGAGTATTGGGAGAGGATCCTCATTCCTTACATCCCAAACTCACGAAATGAAGTTTCAACAACTATCTACTGAAATTGTGCACCCGTTCAACAGGTATATGCTGAATTATATAAAATTTCAGTAGATACCTAACAAAGCTGTGCATGTTTCAGTATATAAAATTTCGGAGGAGACCTACCAAAAGAGAATCACCTTCATAGTAGAGATCTACCCAAAACCTGTACGAGGATTTAGAGTTTCACAAGATGTAAAACGTCGTTCAAATTGATCCAAATTGAAGAAAAAAAAAATGAAATCATATAACTCATGTGGAGCCTCCAAACAACTGATTTCATGATCTATTCATCAAACTAAGTTTTTTTTTTTTTTTTTTTTTTTTCCCATAACGTATATGTGCCTTTAGTAGTTAACGTTTTGTTTTGCAAGGGAAAGTGGGAGTGGGTTTGAGAACTTGAACAAAAAGAATCTTATGATTCAGATTAGCTTACGTTACAAATGACTTATGGTTAATTCATAAATTTTTTTTTAGAAAAGAAAAAAAAAATCATCTAGGGTTTAAAAAAAAAGCATTTCATATTAGAGCATATATGTCATTTAGTATTAAAATTTTAAGTGAGGTATATTAACAAAATGTGAGGTGTCTTAGGGCATCTCCAATGGAAATATGCAAATTCGAGATGTAAAAGTCAGATTTACATCTCATTTTATATTTTCGAAAGGTGTATATTTTAGTTCTACTCCATTGAAAGAGATGCAAATTTGGGATCTCATTTATTTTTTCTCTTTAACTGGCAGAATCCACCTCCAAAAGAAGTAAAAAAAAATATATATATATGTAAATTGCATTTTTATTTTCATCTTCCAATCAAGATGGGAGTTTTACATCTCTCCCACTGGAGAGCTTTCCAGCTAACAAAAAAATGTATAATGCTCATTTGAAGGTATTTTGAATCTTCCATTGGAGATGCTCTTAGTGACATTGTGTTGACCCTAAAAGCTACCAAGCCTACATGGCGCGCAGGCCGAGTAACTAATGAGCTAACTACGTCATTCGGTTGATGCGGGCATGCCAACTCATCGGCCAAGGAGTAAAATGTATATATGTTGCATTGAATGCGCTACTGACTTCTTGATCTTGCGACCGCGGCCGAGAAAGGAACACATCTTGGCCTTCGAGTTCTAGAGCCTGAAGACAAGGCTGCTAGTCTTACGAAGTTCACGGATCGTCGGTGTCGGGTTCGGTTACAGTGATTATATTCGTAAGAGTATAAGCACACCAAATCGGTACCAAACTATATGGACACAAGTACTCAAAAGAGATGTATATCTTGATGGTGATCTTGGTTCGGCCATCAAAATGTCGAACTCTAAAACTTACTTGTGAATACCCAATCATAAAACAAACTTGGCGTTCAATGTGCCGAGCGTAGTAATCTGTAACACCCCACTTTGCCAAGAAGGCTAATGAGATGACCTCCGCCAATAAAGATTTGAAAATCCTTCTTGACCGAGACACATTGAGAATTTGAGAGATTTTAATGGATTTATAAATCAATAGATTTTTATGGAGTTTAATTGATTTGTAGAGATTCCATATAAAATTTGATTCAATTCCCTCAAAATCTCATAGGAAGTGGTGAGATTTGTGGATGTTTAAAATACACTACGAAATCTCTCTAATTCCCTCTAATTCCTCAACTTTATCAAATTCTTTAAAATAAATTTCTAATTGAATACACCTGGAATGTTAAAAACTTCTTTAAAATCTTAATCAAATACATCCAAATTTCTAAGGATTTTAATAAACTATCTTAAAATTCTAATTGAATACACCTTGAATTTCAGAGAATTACTTAAATCTTGATTGAATACCCCTAAATTCATTAAAAGAATTAAAATCCCTTAAAATCTCAATTGAATACACCCCCTTTAGATAGGTAATCAGTCAATCTCGATGCAGTACTGTTTATCCAAACTGAAGGTGCTTCACGGTCGGCTAATTCTACAATAACAGTGTTGTTTATCCAAACTGAAGATGTTCACTGGTTGCCTTCATAGTGTTGTTTATCCAAATTGAAGATGTGTTGGCGAAAAAGGAAAACAAAAATCTCAAGGATGTTGAGAGGTTGCGCGTAGAGTGAGGATTTGCGCATGGCAATTTATGTGTTGAATTGGAGGGGACTAGAATGATGCACCCCTTCTTATTTATAGCAGCCAATCTCGTCATGGCTGAACCAGAACTATACTCGGATTAGGATTCTTTATTCTAATCTAACCAAGTCTCGACCAATCCTACCTCCATTAAGACTTTAAACCAAACTCTTTATCCAGCCACATTCACTTCTCAAATATCAACATCCTCATCCCATTGAAACTCCTTGTTATGCTAGGATTCGACTTTCCCATCAATCCATCTCATACTAGGACTCGGCCAATCTTAACCGAGCGGCCCATAATAACTAGAATTCGCGATGATTCTAGAATCATACTGACGGGTCGAGAATAACTCCTAACTCGGCCCATACCAATATTTTGGGCCCAAACATTGCCCCCTCACTTCTGAGGTCTTCGGCCTAGAACCCTGTGGCCGAGTTTCAACCTTTATGAAGTGAAATCAAACCCTCAACTTATCTTTGGAAGACTACGAAAAGTCCCAAATATCTCATCACTCAGGTGCATTTATAAAACACAATTGCATGATCTTAATTTGTCAGATGCTCTGCCATGTGGTGACTCCTAAGCCTACTTGCCTGCCATTAATAATGACCCTTGAAACGTGCAACCATTGAAGCGTCTCTTCACCATTAAATCCGCAGTCACACGCAACTGTGCATCCTCAATCCTCTAGTTTTTCGATCTTTTCACCTGGATGTTTTAAATACCCATCATGATTATAAAATCCTCCAGTCGTTTTTACCCTTCCAAAAACTGCTGATCTTCCACCTAAACACCTATAAATACTCTGATATCCTTTACTCAAACTTTTACGCTTTCAGAAATCCTAAACTTCTCTTGCCCTTTTGCCTTCAAATTCCCAGAAAACCCAAAAACTCTCAACCCAGAAACTCTTCAAGTCCTCATCAATGGTTTCCTTCATTTCCAAGTTTTCCGACGAGTGCAACATATGCCAGGGCTTCATCGATCGAAATGCCATCCAGACTCTGCGCTTCGAAGGCGATTTGATCGCTTCCCATCAAATCTTGGGTCCACTCTTCAAGGACGTCGTGCCATCGTCCATCATCACCCTCTTCAAGGCTTCTTGCATGGCACCCATGTTGCAAGGGTTTGATTGGTCGAAGTGGCACCTGACCAAACCCCAAAGAGCCTGGCCTTCAACCACTACAGCCTGGGCAGCTTGGGTCGAATGGATGGAAAAAATCTTTGGCCAAGAATGGAAGACTCTTGGTATTTATGATGCCATTAAACTTTCAACCGTGGAAATCGCAATGGACAAAAAGCTTTTCATGGCAGCTTTGAGCTTATGGTGCTCGGCCACCAACACCATAGTCCTACCCCTTGGCCCTACCGGCCCCACTATCCTCGACGTCTCAGCTATCTTTGGGACGTCCCCTTCTGGCATCCCAGTTGATGTCGCCCTCTCTTGGTACCGTTTAATCTCGACCTCAAAGCAGTATATGACGAACAGGCTATCGAGACGCTGAGAAAAGAAGGCCAAGAACCTTTAAGAGAAGAAATTCAGAAGCTACACAAGAATTTCTTCAACTGCAATACCTTCATCCTCCATTTTGATGGCCGAGGGGAAGAAAACCTTCAGAAGAGGGAGACTGAGGCCTTCCTATTTTACTGGTATAACAAATTTAATTGTTGTACCAAGTCGAATAAGTGCTTGGTCAAGAATATGTCAATGGTCGAAGCCCTGGCAATTGGTCACATCTTGGCCCTTAGTTCGACCGTCCTCACCAACCTCCTGTGCTGCCTGGCCAAGACGACCATCAACAAAATCGATCCACAAAAGAATGGCTCTCTCTGGGTTTTCCAACTCTAGCTGCAGATCTATTTTTCCACCCTTCGACCAGAGATCCCCAACTTTCAATCCACTAAAATGCTCGGTCTTCAGTTAGCATCTCGATCAATACCTCATCACCGAGCCGAAGAAGTTTTCCAATACTTCTTTGACCTCTGA